GGACCCGTGTGGCGTCGAAGATGTAACACACTCGCCCTCTTAAAAGACCGAGCTACTTGCGAGTGCGGAGTTGTCTGTCCGATACCGGCCCGGACCCGTGTGGCGTCGAAGATGTAACACACTCGCCCTCTTAAAAGACCGAGCTACTTGCGAGKGCGGAGTTGTCTGTCCGATACCGGGATGGGTCGGGTGGGACGAGCTGCTGCCTTGGCAAGTCGTGTCTTCTCATAGTTGGCGAAGATAAGGGGTGCAGAAGTCTGCAAGTCTGCAATAGAGATCCACCGAGTATCGTCGGGTGCACATTGCTTGAATGTGACTTTATACTGCATTGGCTTGTTGCCATACTTGCGGTGCGTGATGACTCGGTCCACTTCCTGATGTCCGTCCATGGAGGGCGGATCCTGTGATCGACGTCCGGGAAACTCGTCATCTGAAGGTGGCGTGTAGATGACCAGCTTCGATGAGTGGAAGACTCGATGCACTGTAAGGTGCGGTGGAATGTTGATCACAAAGGAAGGACCTGCGGGGTCGTCTCCAACGGCAGAAGTGACTTCCCATGGTACGAACCATTTCGGGAGGAGTTTGCGCGAAACGTCATGCTCGAGCGCAAATTCCTCGGAGAGGACCCAAACAAGGTCTCCCTCGCGGAAAGGGCATGGAAGTCGACGTCGGTTAGCCTGCTGCTGCATGCAGATCTCAGCCTTTTGCATATTTGCGCGGGCTTTGATCAGCAAGTCCCGGTACTTCCGAACGGAAGCGGGAGAGCAAGGGACGTCTATGTCGGCAGCCTGTGGCAGAAGGAGATCAACGAAGATCCGTGCTTTCTCTCCACCATGATGTAGCTCGAATGGTGTGACGCAGCTCGCCGGGTGCACCGAAGTGTTATAGGCGAACTCGATGTCGGGAAGCCGGTCAACCCAATCTTTCTGGTCGGGATGGATGAGCGTACGCAACATCATCTGAGCGGTCTGGTGCGCTCGCTCCGTCTGGCCATCCGTCTGCGGGTGCCGAGCCGAGCTCGACTTCATTGTCGTACCGGACTCGGCCACGAGGGAAGTCCAAAAGGTTGACATGAAGCGAGTATCTCGGTTGCTCACTATGTCTTCCGGAACACCCTGGTTGGTAATCCAACCGGTGTGCAAGAGTTGTGCGAGCTCGGGTGCTGCAACATGATACTTGCAAGGAAGGAAGCGAGCATACTTGCTCAAACGGTCAACGACCGTGAGAATACCGTCATGGCCGTGGCGATCGCGGGGAAACGGGCCTGTCACGTCCATAGCAATGGAGAGGCGTGGTGCCCGAGGGATCGGCAACGGTTTCAGTTTCCCAAAGTGGACTCGAGATCGACCCTTGTTACGGTGGCAAACTGCACATGACTCAATTTACCTCGTGACGTCATGAAGGACGTCGGGCCAGTGAAAACGCTGGYGGAGGCGTGCTAGTGTGCGGTTCACGCCAAGGTGTGCCAAAAGTCGTGCGTCGTGGAATTCGCCGAGAAGACGAGTCCGTAAGATGCGATCTTGGGGCACAACTAACAAGTTCTTTCCTCTCGTGGAAAGGAGAAGGAACCCGTCTGCAATCCGATAGTGGCTAGCCGGTCGGTGATCCGATGAAAGCTCCGCGTAAAGCGTAGAGTAAGTCGGATCGGACTTGTAGCCTTTTGACGAAATGCGGTTGCAGATCGTCATCAAGGTCGAATGCCGTGGTCACAATGGCACAAAAGTCGGGCGGTCGTGAGAGGGCGTCCGCAACTCGATTGGCTGGACCGGGAATGTGGCACGGGTCAAAGTCGAACTGGTCGATGTAATACATCCATCGACCGATCGCACTAGTGACCGTATCCTGCGTTTTGTAAAAGGTCAATGGATTGTTGTCCGTGTTCCATTTAAAACGCCGACGACCGAGAAGAAAGTGGCGCCACCGTTTGAGAACGGTGACGAACGGGAGTAGCTCTTTCTTCCTAGCGTCGTCTAGAGTGTTGACGAGGGGCACCTTTTGGGAACAGTACTCGACCGGATGCCAACCGACCTGGTGACACTGTTCCAACACCGCACCAATGCCGTATCCCGAAGCGTCCGTAGTCACTTGGGTGGGTAAGGAGGGGTCGTATATACGGAGGGCAGGTGCGGCTTCCATCGCTGCCTTCAACGTAGTGAACGCGCCACGGGCTGCGTCGGCGAACTCGAAGGGCACCTTCGGGGACTGGAGTCTTGACAAAGGAGCGGCCACTTTCGAGTATGACTCGACGAATCGCTGATAATGTCCAGCCAAACCCATGAAAGAGCGTACATTCGTCGTGCAACGGGGTTCCGGCCAATCCACGATGGCTTGGATCTTGTCGGCTAAGGGACGAATGCCTTTCGGCGTGACAAAATGACCTAAGTACTCAAGCTCCTGCTTGGCCAACTCGCACTTGTCGAGATTCGCTTCGTACTTGGCCAGTCGCAAGCGATTCAAAACAGCGCGAAGGTGTGTGATGTGCTCGTCCAACGTCCTGCTATAGACCAAGATGTCATCGAGGTAGATGAGGACACTGCGATCAAGCAAGTCGCGAAACTCCGTCGTCATAGCTGCTTGAAAGTTGCGGGGGCATTGGTGAGGCCAAATGGCATTACAACCCACTCAAAATGCTCGTACCGTGTCTTGAACGCGGTTTTGTACCGATCTTGAGGCTGGTTTTCAATCTGGTGGTAACCTGACTTCAAGTCCAACTTCGAGAAGTACGTCGCGCCGCCTAACCGCTCAAGAAGATCATCAATCCGAGGGAGAGGGCCGGCGTTCTTTACGGTTTGTGCGCTAAGTTTTCGATAATCGATGCATAACCGTAGATCTTTGTTCTTCTTCCGGACGAAGAGAATAGGGGCGCCGTATGGCGAGCAACTAGGGCGAATCCAGCCCTTGTCGAGAAGGTCATCGAGTTGTGCGCGAAGCACCTCGAGTTCCTCTTCGCTCATGCGGTAGATACATCCACGCGGAGGGACGGCGCCAGCCTCGAGAGTGATCCCGTGACGTATGGGCCGATCCGGAACCGTTCCGGTGGGAGCCTCGAAGACGTCTCTATACTCGTCCAAGAGGTGAGAAATGCGTGGGTCCGACGGTGACGCGGCTGGTCCGTCCGGCGAAGGGAGAGCATGCAAGAATACAAGGCCCATCTCCTCGACGTCATTCCGAGCTATGGTGTCGCGAATTCTCGCAACAGAAACCACGTGACAAGCAATCGAAGTGTGAGGGGTCGCGACAGTACATGGGACTAACACTCCGTTCCGATCACGGATGTGAACGGTTCGGTCATGGAAGTTCACCGGATGATCGGTGCTACGCAACCAAGACATGCCTAGAATCATGTCGAACTTGGTGTCGAGGATGTCAAAAGACACCGGCTTGCACGCAAGTGGCGCAAAGTAGACCGGAACGCCGTCGACGCATCGGTCAATTGACTTTTGCGTGCGGCCGTCCGCGAGTGTAACTTGCGTGGGTTGCGTCTTCCTTCGAACGCGCGGGACAAGACCTGCGCGAGCCATAAAGGCTTGGGTCATAAAGTTGCGAGACGCTCCGCAATCAATCAAGGCACTATAGGTTGCCTTTCTGATTTGAATGCGGGTATAGAGCAAAGGAGCGTCGGTTTCGGCGTACCTTTGGGTGGCGTACTCGCGGTCAATCTTCGCAAGATAGGAGCGGAGATCGACAACCGCGGTACTGTAGTGTGCAAATAGGAGCGTAGAGTTGCCATGAAGGCGTTGCAATGCGGCCTTGGCAAGGTTCCAGTCGAGGGTAAAGACATCCAAGCGAAGTCCTCTCTCGTGAGCGGGTCAAGCTCCTCAAGTCTTGACCACGTTGTCGAGTCCTCGTAAATCAGTGGCTAACTGACCGGATCACTTGCCGACGGTGTACAGGCTGAGCATACGCTAGCTAAATGCACGTGGCTTGGCTGGTCTAATGGTGGTACCAGCTGGGCGGCATAATCCTCGTACGTAGCACGAGAATCAGCGACTAACGCATGCTCCCCGGTAGTGACATCGATTGCTAGCAAGGCGACCGGGTCCGGCGGAGTGAGGAGAGACGTCGCCCCTCTCCTTGCGTAACTCGGTTTCCCGAGTTTGCTGGACGGAGTACGCGTGCCTTGCCCTTTTCGGGGCATTGTGCAGTCAAGTGTGTGACTCCATTGCACCAAAGGCAATATCTGTACTTCTGACGAAGTTCATAGACTTCCTTTGTGATGTTGTAGGCCGTCCATGGCTGCTGCCCAGTTCCCGTCGATGCCGTCTCTTGTGTCGCCTTGGGTTTTCGGACCCTCTTAGAACGCTTCGGCGGGAACGCTGCTACAATTCCTCCATCACTCGAGGATACTGCTGCAGCGTGGAGATCGTCTGTTCCTTCAGAAATTACGACATTGTTATGTGCCGGAGGTTGATAGCCCTGCTTAGCCACATAATGCAGCTGGGATTGTTTCTCGTTAGCGGCCTTGTCGTCCGTTTGGATGACCAGGTTTGCGCGATCCAGGATGGCCTGGAACGAGGTRTAGTCGTACTCATTACCGAGTGCCGACCGCAATCCTGCGCACGATCGCGAAAAGAACTCGGATCGWTGATTTGGAAAAGTCAAATCGAAGCCTGGCGTGGTCACTATCTTCTGCCACTTGGTTGTCCAGTCTCGAGTTCGCATACTTCCTTGAGAGCAGGTGTACACCTCGTTCATGGCCGCCTTCACGACGTTGCGGACCATGAACCGGGTGAACCATAGCTGCTCGAACTCCTTCCACGTGATGTGCGTGTGGAGTTCGGCGATGGTGCACTTGTGGGTAGCCGCTAGGTGGTTCATCCATGCCTGCGTTCCTCCAATCAGCTGTAAGTATAGCGCCTTCATCATGTAGTCGTCTGGGACAGTGGGGCAGGATGCTTCCGTAAGGAAACGTTGCCACCATGCCAAGGCGTCCGTCTTGTTGTGGTCGTCGAACTTGCTGATGTCAAAGTGTGGCATCTTGTAACTCTTCGTCGCGGCGTCCGGTCTCGTCTGTAGCTTGGTGATGTCCGTCTTGATGGCGGCCACCGTGCTACTGATTGTGTCCGGCCCATTGAAAATACCTATGTCGCCGATGAGCTTGACGACGTGATCGATGCGCCCGTTGAGTTGCTCCGTCTCGTCTGTCGTGCAGCCTGGCGCTGCTGAGGCCTTAGCCTCGATACTGCTGACGCGTGCGGTGGTGGTGTTCCACAACTGTTGTTGTTGTTGCTGATGTGTGGCGGTAGTGCGAACAACTGCTGACAAGGCTGCAGAATCCTTCTGCTGAATCTGTTGCAGCTGTCTGCCTTCGTGTATTTGTACTGCATACATCGTATTGTTCCACATGATCGCTAGCATCATTGTCAACATCACGTGAGTCCTCTCTGCCTCCGCCAGTGTCGGATCTGCCTGCTCTTCCGAAGGCACAAAGATCATGCCCTCGAGGATCGTTGTCCACTGATTCTCATTATGAATCAGGGATTCCGTGCTGGCGGCATTCCGTTGGTCCCGTGCTGCTGCGTCATCCTCAACAGCCTGCTGAGCTTGGGCTGCCGCCTCTTTGGCCAGCCGTTGACGTTCCACCTCTGCTTCCTCCTGTGCCTTTGCGGTTGCTACGGCATCGGTGAATGCCTGTACCCGCTGAAGGTAATCTGCCAACGGCTCACCGGCCCCTTGGACCGGGCATGCGGGAAGAACTCCGGTGGTACCCGGTACCGTCAATGCTGCACTCGATACCGCTGGAGTCGTCCTGCTGCTGAGTCGCAGAGTCCTGCGTCGGAGAGGTATCACAGAGCGGGCACGCCCTGCAAGCCTGGCACTGCGTCGTGGCAGTGCCCCCGTGTCTTGTTCCATCGACATCAGTGCTAACTGATGTGGTACTTGAGAAACCCGGTGGTCACAGAGTACGGGGAGGGTAGGGAGGGTGGGAATAGGGGTAGAACAATCAAACAATATGCATACAGTCCCCTATCCCACTGATGGACTGTAGACACCTAATCAAAACAGAAAAAATAAATTTTCCGTAAACAATTCAAAAATTCGTAATAAGAAATAAAATTGACAAATTATTTAATCAATAAAGTGAATTAATGATAAATATCGAAATAATAACTCTTAATGATAATCAATAAAACAATGTTTGCAATAAAATTTGGTAATGATAATCCATAAGCAATATTTGTAATAATGACAACGAACAAATTTGAATTGTATCAAGATTAGGTATCCGTTGAGATCATTTTTAGTCCGGGAGTTCACCATTAATGAGTGAACTATCCGGAAGTTGCAACTTGAGGGTCAGTTTCGGATTAGTTTGCCAAAAAAAATTTCGGAAAAAGTTTGGGAAAAACACTCGAATTTTCAAAAAACGTGAATTTTCGGGAATTCCACCGTCAAAATCCGATTTTTAACGGTCTAACCCCGTTTTCGGAATTTCTCAAAACAAAGGAAAGAAAAAAAAAAATCGTGAAAATTTCGGGCCCAACCCTAATTTTCCGCATTTCGGCGGAATTTTCGGATTTACGGTTCCCAAAACATTCGAATTTCCCAAGTTGAGCGAAAAACCAAAATTTTCGTAACCTTAATTTCAACTGCAATAAAACGGAAATGCCGATTTGGAAAACGAACTACCGGATTAAAAATCAGAATGCCGAAATAAAACGGAATACCGAAAGAAACCATAATGCCGAATTAAACGGAATACTGATTAAACCCTAATTACGAATCCCTAATCAGAAATCCAATTAACAGTATGTCGGATTAGTATCAAGTTCTCGGAACCTAATTAAACAGCATACCGGCATAAAGCAGAAATCCGAAGAATAAGTCCGAATAGTGAATTGAAACGGAAATGCCGAAATAAGCAGACTATCGAAAAAAGAAAAAAAATTGCAACTTTGAACTTGACAGTAATACGGCGCTGATTTGGAAGATTGAGAAAACAATCTAATTCCTAAATCAGTCTTACCTGGTGAGCAGATCCGTAACTGGTCTGCTCCGATACCAAAACTGTTACATACTTCAATGAGTATGGGCAGAACCAAAGATCAACCAATGTAGCTTGAGCATATATGCAGCGGAAGTCTGATAAACGGACTGACTCACATAGACTGACTCACACAGACTGACTCAAGAATCACTCCACACACATACAATCNTGATAAACGGACTGACTCACATAGACTGACTCACACAGACTGACTCAAGAATCACTCCACACACATACAATCGTGAGATGGTGGGGTATGGGCCAAGCATAGACGATGCCCAGACCTCGTACACGCATACACAGATGAGAGGTGGGAGGAGAGACGAAGGAGGTGGGGGAGGGAGACAGCACCGAAGGTCACCGAGATAGAATCTGATAGGTCACCGATATGGTAGTCCAAAAATGTCATCCAACAAGATCAAAATGTCGAGGACAATAGGTCACCAATGTCGGAGGTATAGAGTCCAAATGTAACCGGTGTTCGAACTGTGATGCGGCCGAGTATCAACCCCAACAATCTCCAAGTCTCCAATCCGGTAAGTACCACAGTCTCATACCACCGAAGTCCAACACTGATCTCTGTCCAACTAGTATAAGTCTCCAATCTGAAGAAGAAGAAGAAGAAGAAGAAGAAGAAGAAGAAGAAGAAGAAGGAGAAGAAGATGGAGTCTGAAGAGGGAGAGAGAGAGAGAGAGAGAGGGAGAAGACGGAGGTGAGGAGGAGGGGAACGGGACCGTGGAGGGAGGAAGAGATCCTCGCCTCCTGGTACCTGCCCTGCTGCTGCTGAGGCGGCGATGGCCGCCGTGCTGCTGTTGCTGTCCTCGCTCGCTGCTGCCGCTGCGCTAGCTCGCGCTGCTGCTGTCCTTCCTCCTGCGCTAAGAATAGCGCTCAAACGGCGCTCTGGCGCTGACCTTACCGTGCCGCGTAGAATACCGGTGGGTCGATGGCCTCACTGAGGCTGGACCGGTACCTTTGTACCGGTGGGCAGAGGTCGGCCTCTATGCTGCGAGGCCTGACTGTGCCCTGAACCGTCCAGATGGACGGTACAGCCCCAACCGGCGGGCGGCAGCCTCAAGAGTGCCACCAGGCCCAAACGGTAACATCGTTTGGGCTGGCCCGTCGGGTCTGGTCCAAGGTAAGGCCTTTACGGCCTGTAGTACCCCCAAGGTCGGGCCTTTGGCCCGACTGTGTCCCTCTACCCTATGTCGGGTCCGGTGGGACCCGTGTGGCGTTGAAGATGTAACACCAGCTCAGCAGATTACTCGGGGCACAAGGGTGGGCCAGACACACACCTTTAGACACGCAATGCCTCCGGATTGCTCAGGGACGCTGACGTCAAGTGATACTCAGGGGAACTAAGGGAGGGGTAAATTCCAGGTGATAAGTTCGAGAAAATTCCATGCTGTCCTATCCACACAAATGATTCTATTTTTATGTTTTCGAGTAGTTAGATGGACAACCATTGACATCTGACAGACAACATTAGTTAGAACTGTTTATTGTTCGTGGTGCTTCTGTTTGCGGATTAGTCAGACTAAAATTAGTTTCATTTGTAGGAATCTGTACTTACCTGTTAGGACCCGAATGTATCTGCTCCGAAATAGTCACCAATTATTTATTTATTTATCTTAAATTGGTCCGTGTACTCTGTTGCGGTAGGCATCCAGAGTGACCTAGTGTAGACGGTGCACAGTGCTGTAGCATATGAGCGACACAGAGGACACCACCAGACGACCGGATCTTGGGATCAGCTAGACGCTCGATAGCCCACGTGTCCTTATGACCGGAGCGTGATAGGATTCTGTTCCGCCAGCTTAGGGAGAGGCAGCAGCAGCAGAGGAGAGCTAGAGCAGCCGAGGCGAGCAGGGCTTTAGCTAGTGTAGCAGCGCACTGCTACAGCAGCCATGGCCACTTTCACTATGGTCACTTCTGCGCAACAGACTTCCCAGGCCAGCAGTTCAGGTATCGTCAGGTCAACGGTCGCGCAGACCGTGAGTCAGTCCACTGGCATGATGGCAAGCCAGGCAGTAGTGTTGACCCCAGAGGATGTCGCCATCCAGCAGGCAGCCCTGCAGGAGGCACAGCTACAACAGACATTAGGACAGATAAAAACGGAGAAGGAGAAGATGATTAGAAGAAGAGCCAGGATGCAGCGGAGAGGGGCAGACATAGAGGAGTTAGAGACGATGGACCTGACACACATGGATGATGATGTGAGGGTAGTTAGGAAGGCCCTGCTAGGAGTAATAGAGATGCAGGAGCATCAGACTACCATCCTTCAGGACATCCAGCAGAGCCTAGCCATTCTGGCAGGGCGTGCTCAGGCGGCACCATCAGCGTCCGGGCCTGGTGCCTGGCCCGTGCCATATCCTCCTTTTTCTGTCCCACTGGTGACAGGGGTATCCCCATATGTAGCCCCGTCATCGGTTGCGATCGTTTCCCTGGGCATGCCGCTGTCAGGAGGGGTATCAGCAGGGACTAGTTTGCAGGTTCCTATTCAGACAGTGTTCACCCAAACTCCGTCGCAGGTTGCAATCACCATGCAGCCTGTTGTTTCGCAGTCTGTGCAGCCGCAGGGCACACAGCCCCAGCAGTTGGCACAGCAACCTGTGTCACGGGGTCCACAACCCGTAGTGATGCAGGGACCGGGACAGACACAGTGGGTTCCAAAGACGGCCATAGCCGCTCCCAAACCTTTCACAGGGGATAAGAGGGGCGACGACCTCGACACTTGGTTGAGGGCACTGCCGGTCTACGTCAGGTGTAAACTTACCTTGCCGCACGAAGAAGTGCTTGTGGTTGTGTCCTACCTAGAGGGTAGTGCAGCAAGATGGTTGAGTGGTTTAGTGCAGCTCCAGGGGTATGGTCATAACTTCCGCGCTTGGCCAGTCACCCAGAAATTAGAGGACTTCCTGAGGATGGTGGAGAACCGGTGGCATGATCCTTAGGAGGCCCAAAGGGCCATTGATGCGATCCTGCCACTGCACACATGGCATTTTAAGTCAGTAAGGGAAGCCACCGACGCTGTTGAGCGTTTGATCTGTGTCCCTGGGGTGCGCTATGACCCTCAGGGTCTCCTTACCTCGTACTTGAGATGCTTTTCTCAGCCTCTCAGGAACCAGATGGCAAGAGAGGCCAACATCAATATGCACAACTTTCCTTCGTTCAGCAAGTTGGCCCTAGACCTTGAGGCTAAGATAGGGCGTGGACAGGCACCCACTACGGATGGGAGGAAAAAGACACTGCCTCCTAACTGGAAGGCGAAGGGTCGCTTAATGTTTGTCGATAATGATGGTTCCACTATCGAAGTAGACGAACACTTCCAGGAGGGAGTAGGGTCAGAGGCGGGCAACGTAACAACTTCAGAGGGTGGAGTAGTCGCTGTCGTAGCTAAAAAAGGAAAGGTGACCGGTAGACGCCGTGGAGGTTCCCGGTCAAGGAGTCAAGTTGACCCCAATGCTTCTCCATGGGAGAAAGCGGGTCTTACTGAGGACGTGTGGAGAGACTGTTACTCACGGCAGGCTTGTATTCGTTGTGGTCAATATGGCCACAGCCAATTCAAGTGCCGCAATAAGAAAGTGACAGAAAAGATCCCGCCTACGATGGGGCACGTGTTGGGATCCTCTCATCCCGTTGGTAGCAATGTTGCCAGTACTTCAGGCAGTGCTCCGGGAAACACATCGGGCCAGTAGGAATAGTAGTTGTTCCTGCTAGGGTCGAGGTGGTGGAGACACCCTCACCATCTCGAGAGATGGCCCAAGCTACTGACTCCAGCGTCGTCATGCAAGCACATTCAGACACATCGAGCCTCTGTTCGATGAATGTGTTCGAGTCCTTAGAGGAGCTAGAAGTGGAGTGGTCTAGATCAGACCCGCTAGCTTCTTGGACGACCCTAGTCAAAGCCCCTAAAGGTGAGATGTTTGTCAGCGAGGTTGTCATTGGCGGCCGTAAGGGCGGGGCCTATTATGACACTTGCTCGACTAGGAACTTTATTAGTCGCGCGTGCGTTGAGAGGCTGCGTTTACAGGGGTGAGTGCAGCGCCTGAGTCGACCTGTGGAGTTGACCTGTGGAGTTGACCTGTGGAGTTGACCTGTGGAGTTGACCTGTGGAGTCGACCTGTGCCAACAAACAGCGCATGGTAGTCAACGACTACCTCCAGGATGTTGAGTGTTGTTTCCTGTACGCGGGAGGGGACTTGAGACATCGTCTCTCGTTCCTAGTGAGTGACGAGCTCCCAATGGATATGTTACTAGGTATGTGCTACCTCTCTGTAGCACAGCCCCAGTTTGACTGGGACCGAAAATTGGTCAAACACACTTTGCCAGGTGGAGGGACCGCCATATTACACAAGTTTAAAGCTAGTAGTCTGACTGAGTCCTATGGGTGCATGTGTGCGGCCGCGTTCCACAATTATTATAAGCAAAATCAGGAGGAGGGTATGTATTTAGTCTGTCTCTGTCGCAGGCGAGCCGATGAAAATGCCGCCGGAGATGGAGGGAGTAGTTGCTAAGTACCCTGATCCAGTGAATCCCCCCCGGCGGCTGACAGGCGCGGCCAAGTCCGCGGCCGCCAAGCCCGCGGACGTGTCCGCGCGAACGCGCGCATTTGCGGACACGTGGCGGCCGCAGGGGAGGGGGTTTGAAGATTCTGACGGCGCCACGTGGCGGCGCATCCCCTGCCCCACCCCCCCCCACAAAAAAAAAACCGAAAAAGATCAACTTTTGGTG